ATCTGGACCTCTACAAGTCCATGAATGGGCTACGTGTATGGCTTCAAACGTGCACTCGCCTGCTCACCTAAAAGGTGAATTTGGTCACATGTATGTCAGAACCCACAATCATGTGTGGAGTTACCAAGCCTTCCAATGCTCCAGTGATCGTGATGATCTACGTTGATTTTTTGCTTGTTGGATCGATCTCAACCAAAGGGATAGACGATGTCAGGAATGCACTTCAGGAAACCCTCAAAGTCAAGACCACCGGATCATTGACCTATGCGAGTGGAGCAGGAGGAACCATCGTGTTCCTTGGTCGTCACATCATCCGCCCAGCTGGAACAAGCGACATCCTGTTGAGAGTGCCACCAGAGTACCTCAAGGAGCTCTTCACGAACGATCCTTTTTGTTGTGAATTGAAGCCTTCGGACAAACCCCCTGATCTGTTAGGAATGCTTGAAGCTGGCGTGAAAGACCCCAAGCTTCTTAAGCCTTTGTCCGATGAAGCCGCAGTCCGATACAAAAGGATCATTGGTAAATTGTCATGCTCGCTTCCTGTCCATTTTGGCAACTGGCCAAGAGACCCCGAGCAATCTCTATGGGAATGCATTGTGTAAGTATCTCCGACATGTTCGAAGTCAGCTTCACTTGTTCCAAAGGTTCCGCAGGAAACACCGTTCTGCCAGAGTATGATGGATTGAGTGGAGTCAGCGATGCATCTTGGGGGTCAAGTGATTTGGAAAACCGCAGGTCCACAAGTGGTGGTTTGATCTTTTGGCAGGGTTCCATGATCAAAGGCTATAGTAGGCTTCAGGGATGCATCACACTGTCATCATGTGAAGCTGAAATCATTGCTGTTTGTCAACTTGCACAAGAGTGTTTGAGGGTTTGCCATGTGACTGAGTTCTTGGAAAGTTTCGGAGATCGCAACATGTTGTTGAAGCTTTCAAGCAAAGAGTTTCAGGAACTGAAGTTTGATGAGATATCCAATCTTGGCAAGCACTACCCCATGTGATTTTCACCGATTCGCAAGCATGCATTGGAGCTTTGAACAACCAAGGGTTGAGTCGCAGGGTACGTCGCATGTCAGTTTTTGTTTGTTACATCCAAGCATTGAAAGATTGTGGTAACCTCACCATCGAATGGCTTCCAGGTAGCAAATGCACTGCCGACCTGTTGACGAAAGTGCTACCTGTTGAGACGAACAATTTCCATCGAAGTCAGCTTGGGATTTTGGAAATTGTAGGCCAGGAAGAATGGCAGTTGGTAGTGAACAAAGAGATGAAGTCTGACGTACAGACCTCAGATGTCCAGGATGAAATCCCAAGCACGGAAGACCTCGCAACTTTTTCGGCAAAGAAAGGTTTGTCGGTTGAAGGTCTTCAGAGTTTTGAGAATCTGCTTCAACGCATTGGCATCGAAGTCCAGGCCGGAAAAGTGACACATGTGATCGTTGAGTTGTGCACCAGTTCAAATGCCGGTCTATCTCAGGGAATCGTTTCCACCAGGACAAGTTCTTGTGCTGTCATTCCCATCACAAAGGAGATTGATTTGCACTGTGTTTCAAAGGTTTTGGTATCACGGATTGTTTGTTGGAACTGCAACCTGGAGTTATGTTCTTGGGATGGGCCTCCCCTCCTTGCACGGGAGGATCACCGGTCTTGCACTTGATCCAGCAGCCACGCCGAAGGGAGATTCAATCTGAGCACCTGCAAGAGTTTGAGGGCCTCATGCTCAAAATCCATCAGGTTTTGATTGTTTGTCACATCAGGGTCCTCGAAATGTCCCAAAGGTGTTCATATTGGAAAGCTGAATCGGTTCAGTCGTTCTGCCGAGTTCACGGACCCTTGTTGCAGTGACGAAATCCGGCCCGGAATTCTCCAGGAAATTTCGCTGATTGTGACGTGGATTGTCCAAGATTCTGCCATCCCAATTGATTTACATCTTGGGGCACCCTCTCGACCCGCGCGGGAAAATAAGCACGGTCCAAAATGGTCCTGGGCTCAAATCCCGGGCTGGTCGCGGCGTGGTCCCGGCCAATGCCCTTGCTTTTTCGTAGATTTTGTCACATTTTCTGTTTTTGCAGTTTGGCCTGCGAGCGGTCCTCGGCGAAGCGATGACGTCCGATGGTACATCTGGGAGGTACCCAAAAAGTCGACTTTTTGGGTACCTGCTTTGGTGGTAATGGGTTAGCGCAAGTCCGGGCGCCGACACTTGTGGCACTTGAATGTACCCTAGACCATGGGCAGCGCCCTGCGGCCCCACAGGCCGCAGAACCCAACGCGTCACGGGGTTCATGCAAGAGCTGACGTCCGATGGTGAATCGGGAGGTACCCAAAAAGTCGACTTTTTGGGTACCTGCTTTGGTGGTGAAGGGTTGGGTCTTACCTGCTTTGGTGATGATGGGTTGGGTCATCGACTTCTTGGGTACCTGCTTTGGTGGTGCTGGGTTGGGTCTAAATTCTTGGGCAATTTATGGGGACGAGGGTTCAGCATTACGGGACTTCTTGGGTACCTGCTTTGGTGGTGAAGGGTTGGGTCTAAATTCTTGGACAAAGTCGACTTTTGGGGTACCTGCTTTGGTGCTGCTGGGTTGGGTCTGCACTCTTAAGGCTAAGGCTAAGGCTAACATAGAGCAAGGCTAGCGCTCAGGTTCTATCTCGTAGGGGTCGGCGGCTGCAGGCGGTAGCCTGGTAAATATAGGCACCCTATGCAATCATTCGAGCAACCACATGTCGTTTCGTTCGATCACTTGGAAGGTTCGGTCGCGGTTGCACACACCGCTTTTGGCCATCGTGCGCATCGAGAAGTGTACCACAAGGTACTTGGATATGCCACGTACTGTGGCTCAAGGGCGACGCAAAAGAGTTGCTTCGCTTGGGAGCGGCGGTCCGCGTGTCGACTATCGCAGTCGAGCGTGAATCGAGAAGTGTTGTTCATTTCTTTTCATTTTCTTGTGTTGACGTTGCACTTGAACTTGAACACTAAAAGGTGTGAGTTCTCATAGGTGGTGGTGGTGGCGGTGGTGGTGTGAAAGTGAGAAACCAGACCATGAGGAGCACCTGTTTTTCGTAAGTGCAGTGAGGGCGGTGACCTTAGTCACTGTCCCTCCTGTTTTTCGTAGGTTTCCTCCACAGCATAGTAAACGCCCAAAGCATTGCATTGCCTCGCCGGTGAGAGTTCGAATGTTTATGGAGTGCGGATGACACGCACAAATCAGGTTTGAAGTGAACCACTGCACCGATCAACCAGCCGATCGGAGCTTTTGGCCGAAGGTTCGAAGCGTTAGATGCTGCCACATTACCTGTGGCTCAAGTGCGAGGAAAATCACGCACTGCGGCGTGCGGGGAGGGCGGATCCGATCGCATCGCTCGAAGAGGTCAAACACACGCAATCCAAGAAGTGTACCAAGCTTTCAACTTAGCGTTTACTTTTGGGTTTGAACTCACGTGAATTTTCATAGGTGGTGGTGGTGGTGGTGGTGGTGTCACGGCCATACGGGCCCCTGGGAGGCCTTGAGGTTTTTCAGGCAAATGTATGGTCATGAAATGTTCACGAGCATGGGATCCCCAGGTGTTTTATTCCAAGAGGATGTTTCGAGTGGGGGGTGGGGTGCTCGAGGGGCGTGTCGGCTGGACATGTGTGGACTTTTTCTCAAACCGCCGCATGGGCGAGCAAACCGTTTCAGAATCAAATGCAGAAGCGGGAGAAACTGCAGAACATTGATTGTGCCTCCAAGGGACTGTGCATCTCGATTTTGAGTCACGAGGTCTTTTCTTGCGTCAACAATACCAAGACATGATACAAATTAGTAGGCACCTTTTTGGGGAAGCAGGAAGCTTTCAGCACGGAAAGTCTATTTGTGTGAGCCTGCTCTCTTTGTTGCACTGTGTCCCTGGTTGGTGGTTGGCGCAGTTGGGGGCCGCTTTCTATTTTTGGCAATGCTTCACCAAGTAGAGGTGCGACGGAACTTTCCTATGCGAACCACTCCGAAACCCGTAGGATGGTGTCATGTGAGGTTTGCGTAGATCTGTGAAAAATAAGTAACATATTTTCATATATCAATTATACGCGCACTCTCATCAGACCTTATCATACCTCATTGGAGCGCGCCTCGGGACGCCCCTGCAACAGCCGTCCAGTCCTGAAGAGATCAAACATGTGGCCCCGCTTGCACTCACACTCACACACTCACACTCTCTCTCTCTCTCTCTGTCTGTCTCACCGGGTAAGATGGGTTGGTATAAAAGGACGTGAACCGACGTGAAAATGGCATCCCAGGCATATACCAAATGGATCCAAATGGCGATTCTGTTTTTATCCATCAGTTGCATCTTTCCCTCATAACATGTCATAACCATTTCATCTGATGGAGGAGCTACCACCCCTCCAAAGGTTTCAAACCCCCAAAGTGTTCCGTTTCAAAGCAGGGCTTAAGTTTAGTACCATATCCCACATCTCATCAGCTTCTGCTTCTTCTTCCTGCTGCAAACTGGAAGAAAATGTCAACAACTTTCTCAAAGTTTGCGCCTCCAAGTGACTCGGCAAGGGCATCACTGAGCTTTCATCACTAATGTGGCTAACCAAGGTAGGCCTCGGGCGCAAAGAACCGGAAGGAAGGGATCCGTGGCTTTGACTTCTCCTTTAGCTCAGGACCCACGACTCAATTCTGGGTCGTTTGGCTCCTGCGGATCGATTGCTGGAAACGGATCCGATTTCACCGCCACGATGGCCTCCTATCTCGTTCTGTTCTCTTTCCCTCTCTCCCTCTCTCCCTCTCTCTCCTTTCCCCAACTCCTTCGGGTCCTCCAGGTGAAACTCTTGTGGCTCTGCCTGAAGCTCTGCTCTTTGAACCGAATTTGACCTCGACCCTAACCGCCTCGTTTCCGAAGCTTCGTCGCCTGCCCATGACATGGACCTCCTGCAAAGGGCGCAACATTGCATCTTTTCCCTCCTAACATTGACAAACACTGTCCTCTTCCAATGCCTCCTCCTTCTTTCGGAGCTCCTGTTAGGCACTTGTAGGCTGCGTACGGAGGTGCCCCAACTCCCAGCATTCATCGGTTCTGACTTGTTGTGCTCCGCATGTACCATTTGCGGGCGACAGATCATGCTCAGCATGTGCCGACAAAAAATCTGAGCCATTTCGGATCAGCCCCTCCGCTTGTAGCCAAGCTCGGTCAAGTGTGTTCAGTGCACGGCTCTTTGAATGTCAAAAACTCTTGGCCAAACTTGTGGTGAGACTGAGGCACTCACAGCCAAGCAGTGAAACCATTTTTGAGCACTGGGGCAAGTGGATAACTTGAGTCCTGAAAAGGGCATGCAAAGCTTAGACTTTCTGTGACCCACATGTGCCCACATGCACAAAGAAAACATCCATGGGTGCAGAATGCTATATTATCTGCCCTGTGCAGTATGAGTCGTGCCTTTCGATTTGTGCCGCCGTGTATGTTTTCAGGATACCAAGTGGAAGTAACAAGTGCCTCGACACAACGTCCAGCAAAGACCAGCATTTCAAAGACTTGAACAACACGGAGCACACCAAAACAATGGAAAAGGCTTGCTTAATCAGGAAAAGTCAAGCCCCTGAGGCAACAAAGGCTGCAATTTTCAAAGAGGGGAATGCACTACCGGGCTCCCAAAGGAACACGTTTCTTTTTGTCCATGCAGCTTTGTAACAGTATGCCCCAGAACCTGCCCCTGCTGTCGACTGCAGCAATATTTGGGAGTATTTTTGCCACATGTTCGGATGTCGATGCAATCTCATCACTCTTGCAATGTTTAGTTAGTGGTAAGTTGTATTTTTTTGGGGAAGACCTTCTCTGCTTTTCCACTTTTATGTATTTTCTTGCTTGCTTCGCTTGTCTGCTTGTTTCTGTCTGTGCTCTTGTTCGCTTTTCTGCCAGGCAAGTAGCAACGAAGGGAGCAAAACAGGAAGCAAGCGAAGAAGCTAGCAGCAAAGTAGCATGGTGCCGCGAAAGAAAGCACGGACGCACGAACAGAGCATGATGCTGCGCCATCGGCCATGACATCTGCACCTGCCACGAAATCAACTCCAGCGGCACTTCTTTTGCATGTTAAACCGTTAAACCCTGTGTGCGACGCTACGCGAGGATCCTTCTCAGTGGTTTACTTACACGCATATAATCGTATATATTTACACTCCGCTTGCAACACGCAGGAGATGAGAGCTTCCTGTGTCAAAGCAATGCAAAATGCAGGATCCTACCCAGAAGCAATAAATATAAAACACTCGCAACCTAAAAAGCAAGCACCAAGACCTATCCGCACCCCTTTTTTGCCGCATGTCGTTCAACCCTGCTTTTGTGGTATGAGCAATTACTGTATAATCGGCAAAGACTGCCAAACGCACTATGACAATCATTTGGATGGTTTCATTTCTTTAGTGACTCTTTGCGCTGAGAGCGAGGTCGGCTAGGACATAGACATTTCCTGAAGCTGCAGGACTGAAATGCTGAATTTCTGCTTGTATTTGGGTCCATGTTTATTGATTGATATGCACAGTCTGCACAGTTGCTAATTGATCTAATTGCTACTTCTTACTTCAGTTTGGTTGAGGGCGGGCACAGTGTGGAAATGTGTGGAAGCCGGCCAAAGGCGAACTCAAAAGCCACAAAAGCTACCAAAACAAACGACAGAAGAAAAGCCACAGGAAAGCCACGAAAAGCAACAAAGCCACAAAAGGCAATAAAAAACTAAAGAACACTTACCCACAGTGAAACTCCTGGTACTTCCAGGATTTTGTCAAAGGACCAATATCACTCTCACGCTACTTGATATGTTCCAGGTCTTGCATCCTGCAAACTAGATCAGGTTCGTATTGAAATCTGCAGCTTGCCCCCCACCCAAGTCAAGCACCCTCGCCAACAGTCTCGTCAAAATGAACAGCTTCCTCAGCACCCAGTTGATGACAACCTCCGTGCCGAGAATGCATGACCCACAGCCTCAGAATCCTGTGTGCGCAGTTTTTCTGCTCTGGGGTGCAAGTGCCTGTGGCGATAGAGTGTTTCACTTCGAAATGGAGAGCGCAAAGGAAGCGGGAAAATACACAAACAGGCCGGACATTGATGGCTGCTTGTACGGCCATCCGAAAGAATGCCACGCCTCCCAAAGATCAAAGCAAGAGCGACCCGCGCTGCCTTAGACCGGATGAGCGGATGCTGCTGGTTCTTTACAAAATGCACCCTGCCACATTCGGGATGGTTTTGGAGTCGTCGTGAATAGGTGCCAATGGTCACCAGGAATCTAAATCAATAAAATGAGGGGAGGCTGAGCTGGTAGGGTGGCCCTTACACGCAGGCATGCAGCGGAAACTTGCGCCCCTTGAAGCAGTTTGAAGCAACAGAAAAGCACACGCACACATGCTTGGCCAGCTTACAGTAGATGCACATTGTGAATAGTCTAAAGTTAGGAATCAATGGTTTCATGATCAAAACCTTCAAAGGCTTCTTGCGGAATGGCATGCATGGATGCCATGTGCACCAAGTGACCAAGTGTTCCTATGCAAGTTCATGTCATTGCGAATGCCCTATCGCCCTGACAAGTCCTGATTCCTGCAAGTATGCAAGTGACGAGGCCCTCTTGAGGGTGCGCTCGCAGTGCTGGTTGATGTTTCCCACATTGTCGTCGACCAAGCGCTTCATCCTTTCGAGCGGCGCATTTGCCACGGACTCTGAAGGAGCGACGAAAGAAAGGGAACCTTTCTGAGGATCCGACACTTGAAGAAACTGAGGAAATCGCATGAGCAGCTTGTGGTCAGGGTGAACCTGACAGGGTCAGAAGCCGCTTCTACACCAAAGTGCATCAAGCGGAAAAACACCAACCCTTACGACGCAAGGACGCAGCCTCGCGGACAATCGCATTCAAAGCACTGACATCTTCATCGCTGAACTCTGTAATGTAACCTCCACAAAAATGCAGTGGCACAACAAATCGATTTGGGGCCAGTTGCCCCCAATCTTCAATTTGAGCGTCTGCGCCAAGCCGCTCATAATGCTCTGGACATCTGCAGGTGTTAGCTCTCCTACCTGAATGCGGCTGAACACCACATTTTGAATTTCAAAGTGCCCTTTCACCTTTTTGACGCCTTGAATAATGACTGTTTGTTTTTCTGCTGCCAAGGCGACCCAATTTGCCTTTGCCGCAAAAATCCTAAGTCAGCGGAAACAAAGATGCCTACTACATGCCAGCGGTAGTAATTTCACTTTGATTCTTGAAAGACACGCGTGACATTGAAGCTGGCCGGGCTGTTAGCATTGAGAGGGATATCTGACCAACCCTAAATGTAATCCGTGACTTTTCACCACGCAAAAAGCCTTTACCAGCTTGTGTTACTTTTTGACCGATGAATATTCACCTGGTTCTACCAGCCAGGTTCGATCTGTAGCCTTCCAACTCGTCTGCTTCGATGCCCAGGGCCACGGCCACCGTCCTTGGCGAAAGTCGACACGAAGACATTCTGCAGCTTCCCGGGACGTCCCCAGCGTTTAGGCCCTAGGCCATGCCCGGCCCTATGCAAGTATGTCCGTTCGCCAGAGCAACATGTGAGAAGGACGTAATATGAGTATTGGAAGGAGGGCCCAGTGCGAGTCCAACTGCCACACCGGAAATTCTAAAGAAGCAACCACCACTCCAACTGCTACTAGGAGCAAGGACGCTAGCCCTACTACTAGGAGCAAGGACGCTACTAGGAGCAAAGGGCATCGCTACTAGGAGCAAGGACGCTACTAGGGGCTCTTTGTGCTTTCATGCCTATCGTGTCTTTTCACATCAAGCCGTCAAGATCCGTCAAGCCTGCTAAAGGTCCATTGCCAAGGAACTCTTCTAGCTGGATGTCCTTGGTGCTTCGACTGGGGAAGCTGATGAAAAACACCCATGTGAAGCAGTGGCAATTCTTTGTAAACAATCGATCAACATGTGGTCTTGGGCATGAGCAATCATATGAGCTTCCAACACAGTCAGGCCCAGCAAGGGTCTCTGAACATCTTCAGCATGAACCCCACAAAACACCCATTGACCGGCAACCCCAAGCGACCTAGCACGCCGCTGCCGACTTTGCAAACCACACAAACCTGGAGCACTCAAACCGTCTATCCGAGTCTATCCGTCAAGCATCGCTCTCATCTCTGATGTCATCGCAGCGGCGCATCAACACCAAAAACTCGAGAAAGTCCAAGGCCCCGTTGCCGTCTTGGTCCACGTCCTTCAAGATCAGCTGCATCTCAGCTCGGCCTTCCTCAGCGTATCTCTCACATGCTCTCACCTACAGTAACTCATCCATGTTGGCAGCTTGAAGTTTCCAACATCACTGTGATCAGGCTGAAACTTTGAGTCTTGGTCTGACATGATCCTGCAGATCCACTTGCAGTCCATCTTTTCACTTCAAGCCTGGATCATCCTTGACCCATCCGATTTCAGCCATCCGAGGCTCTTTGGACTTGGTTGCCTCAGGCTACAATTGCCATCTCACATGGATTCAATGAGGATTTGGATGCAGTCATTGTCACAGGCTGTTTCGGTTGATGATGAGTGTCTCTTTCGCAGTTGGCACAGCCGGGCCTCTGGAAAGTACTCTGCAATGATCTTGGCAAGCTCGCGCTTTTCTACTGTACCACTCCTGTCCTGTCAAAAGCAAAGCCTCTCAACAGGAGAACATCATGACAAATGCAAATTGAATTCTGAAAGTCCTTATCAAATTTGTTGAAGCATTCCCTGAGTGCCAACACCTGGCAAGGCACGTCAAGGTTTTGCATCCATTGGCACCCACTACGAAAGGATCTGATGCGACATGACATAGGTCATACGTCCAATATGGACTTGCCCTTCAGGCCTCGGAAGCATTGTAGCAAGCGTGCTGTCGCATCTCGTCAATCTCCAAGCGGCCTTAGTTGTCGATTGCTGAGATACGTATGAGAAATCTCGAAGATTAAACAATCTAGTACATATATATATATACATACACATATATCACTTTTTTCTCTCCCAGTGGCGGAAACTCTTGAAGAATGCTTGGAAGGTGGATCTGGACACCGATTCCTTCCTCAGTGTACAGTCGGGTGGCTCGCCTGGGATCTGGCTTATTGTGCCCAAGCTTCGTATCCATCAAGGTGAAATGGTTCTCATTGGCGGCCTTCTCTGCTTTTGCAATCGATGCCCCGTATTGCGACAGCTTCCTCAGGGTGTTACGAGGTTGTACAACACGCCATTTGAGACTCTAACACGAAGGTCGCACCATTCAAAAACCCGGACTTACAGTTTTTTGGTCACCATCAAAGGCACCATCCCACTGTTGTTTGAACTTGCTCGGTTGGCGCTTTTAATATTCCGTGTCCAGCAAGGCAGCAAGCACCAAGGCAGCTGACCGGCTGCATATGTTGAAACAGTCTTTATCTAATGTCCAGACCATTTGCACCTCAAAAAACCATCCCGCGGTTCTTCCAGTCGGGGCCTTCGGTGCCCTCCGACAGCAAAGCCGGACAAGTTTCTGAACTGCGAAGGGGATCTTTGAAACCATCACCTGCGACATGGCCAAGGTGCATCAAGGTCTCTTGCAACCATGCGAAACCATATGATGTTGGACTTGTGTGGAGCACCCTGCAGAACTAAACGGCAAATGACTGTGGCAATCTTTCCAAGGTCCAGGCATGGTCGTTGCCCTTGTTGTCCAGCATTGTGAAGAGATTCCACTGTTCTCCTCTCAATTCCTTGTTCCAACTCAAGTCATCAAGAAAGTAGCTGGAACGCAAAGCTGAGGGGCTAGGGAAATAATATGAAATACATGGACATATGGACCCCGTGCGTCTATGGCTGATCTGGTGCCTGTTTCCGCCTTTTTTGTTGACGGCGCATGGAAGTGGGTCCAAGCGGCTGAGAATTGTCGCTGCATGAGCTTCAGAAACCTCAGCAAGGGCGCCATGAGTTCAGAAACCAAAAGAAGCCTTCAAAAGGATGAGGATAAGTATAGTATTTTGAATAGGACGCTCGGTTGACCTGGACACCCCCGCCATATATAGGCACAAGAGTCCTTTCGCTTTCGAGCTTTTGGAAAAGGACTCAGGTTTTCTCGGTTTACATTGGTATTGCCGCGACGCCGTGCGCGCTACTCCTTCCTTTGGGTCTTTGCCCACCACGGTCTGAGGGGTGATCCTGGTGACTGGCTGGGGGGCTACGTGGGTTTGTAAACCTTGATGCCTACACCGGAGGGGGATCCGGTGCAGGAGGCCGATCCTGATGGAGAACGGCAAGAAGCAGAATCCCAGGAGGGATCAAGTCTATGAGGTCTTGGGGTCAGTGGACGGAAGAAGAGTGGGCATTGTGGAACCAACACCAAGCATACTACTCCTGGAGCCAGGCTCCGGGATCGGCGGCTGCCGGTCAACCACCACCGCAGGCCAACTCTTCTGCCTCCGCAACGACGACACCTCAGCCTGATCTACAACCTCGTGATTTATGGTGGGCGAACTCTGACACCTGGCAGCAACAAGACAGCGAGGGTCAGGGGGACAAGATAAGATCCAAGTACCTGAATACACAGGTGAAGAGGATCGCGATGCCCTAAAGGCCAAGGGCTACATCAGGAAGATCGAGGCCTGGCGACGGGTGACTCGCCTGCCAACTCAGAAGCAGGCCTTGATGCTCTACAACAACATGAGCGGCCGAGCTTGGAGGGATGCGGAGGAATTGGACCTCTCCGCATTGGACACGCTGGAAGGGGTTGAGATCTTCATGGATTGGATTCGCACCCGCTACATGGACAAGGAGGTCCACCAAGGTGGGGGCGCCACACGTCCGACTTTTTCAAGGTGTTGAAGCGCTCGGCGAACTAGGACATCCGGGACTTCAACCAGGAGTTTGACCGCCAGGTATCTCGCCTGAAGGAGGTAGGCTGTGCACTCCCGACACATGTCTGGCCTGGTGGTATGTTGATAAAATGAGAATGGACAATGCAACAGAGCTGTACCCGTTGTCCTCCGTTGGCAACTCCCACACCCTTGCCAAGCTTCAGGAGGCGGTTATCATCCAGGACCGGATGAACAGACGCATGTGGGAAAGGCGACCTGATGGAGATAAGAGGTCCGACGACCGAAAGAAGGGACACCAGGCCTTATAGGGGGGAAACGGACGACCTCGATGATGACCTCCTCGACGACGACGAAGGGGGCATGGAGGACGATGACGACTTCCCGGACGATGAGGAGGCCCATGAAGCCTATGTCGCGTTCCGCAACGCCAAGAGCAAGTACCAGTCCATGATGAAGGAAAGAGGGTGTGGACAGCAACCCAAGGAAGAAAGGTTGAAACAAGCTAAAGCCAGGTCCTACTGTTCCGTGTGCCACCGTAAGGGGCATTGGCAACAGGATCCTGAGTGTCCGGCCAACAAAGGGAAGAGCGGAAGCACTCCGCTTACTATGCATGTGGTCTACTACACCGGCAACAATGCCAAGGAGCCGAACACTGACTTCCTGGCCATCACCGACTGCGCCTGCAGCAGAACGCTGGCCGGGCGTAAATGGGCGGGGCACTTCATCAAGTTCATCAAGGAGAACCACGTCCCCTACTTCCTCATGGAGCAGAACGAGGTGTTCAAGTTTGGTGGAGAGAAACTATATCCATCGAAAGCAGCACTGGTTACTTGGCTCGCCATCAACAACGAATGGTTCCTGGCCAAGATCAGCGTGGTGGGAGCGGATGTCCCGCTCACCCGCACTTGCTCAGCCGGGCATGAACTATGACATCGGCAAGGGGTTGGCTGACTTCACCGCGGGCATTCCTTTAATCATGAGTCCGAATCACCGGCAATAGCCCCGGGGGTTGGCATTGGCCTGAGCGGATTGACTGGAGTCTCACTGAGATCTTCGTACCCCGAAAGCAGGAGGCATACATGGTCGCACAGCAGCTCATCCTGTTCTACCCCAAGAATTTGACTACGGGTGCTCATGAATTGTTGGTTGGTGAACCCTTGAATCATGAAGCGTTTTTGCATTGGTGGAGGACCAAGGACTACTACTATGGGGACTTCTGGATCGAGACACCGTCCTTCCTCTACAGGGTTCATGTTATTCCCCGGAGATCTTAAATTTGACCCACGGACTTGGAGGACATCGAATGAGAACCTGAAGGACAACCTGTTGGACCACATCGGAGACACGTGTGAGACAGTCACCATTCCATGCACAACCAATGCAATGCCCTTGTCTCAACTCATCAAGCGGAAGGAAACACCGACCAAATTCAGATACCTCTGGATTGGTCGCAGACGTCTCAAACGGGAGGTCAAGGATTGCTCCACGGCCTATTCGGAGCACCAGACCACGGATGCCCTCTCATCCCACTCCTTCGCCATGGAAGATGAACCGACCGGAGCTGGTGGAGACCTTGGAAACGATGGGGGTCACAGACAAGAAGGAGTGGACGGTACCGGAACTCCGATCCATCCTCATGGAGTACCGGGAGGAGTCTGCTCAGAGTCAGCTCAAAGGGATTTCATCCATGAAGCTGAACGAGCTCATCGCCAAGTGCCAGGACGAGAAGATCCCGGTACCACAAAAGCCCACCACAAGACTACTGATGAGGCTTGTCAGGGACAATGTACTTTGCACCGGGGACGAGGAGGTGACCTTCGGCCGCTACAGGTACTGGGTAAAGAACAACCTGAACAAGGGGTCTGGGTCCAAGGGGTCTGGAACCAAGGGCTACCGAGATCCGGAGTCATTGGCAGTGACAACACCGCCTCCTCCAGAGCTACCTCCCAAGTCGTCCACGACCCAGACAACGACCGGGGGGAAAGACACTACCCAAGAAGAAAGCGAGTTCCTAGAAGAAGACCAGGACGTACCCGCACGAGGAGGACGATTTGGACGAGCAGAAGGAGAAGGTCAAGGCCCTCGAGACAGCTCTGGCTCAGATCAAGGGTCAGCTAAGGGGTAGTTCGAGTACCTATGAGCCTGAAGGGGACAGCGGGGTGGAGACTGGCGACGGGCGTGTCGACCTCAACGTCTTTGGCAACCCGAAGAACGACTACATTGAGGAACACTATGAGGAGGACAACTCCGAGGACATGAACTTCAAGGTGCCGAAGGTGAACTTGCTTTACCCCGATGACTATATGAAGGTGAAGAACCTCCCAAGCCATAAGATGAAGCGGTCAAGTCGCAAGAGGGTGCGGGGCTGGGCTAGACGCACCCTGTCTGGCCTTCTCAGCAACCGCCTGGGAGAACACAGCAATGGCCATGAAGCCTGCCTCAGATTTGGTCAATGGACATCTTCCAGGTGGACATCAACAAGGTGAAGATCGTGTGGCCCTGCTCGAGCTCTTCTGCGGGTGTGCAAGACTCACTACCGAGTACGCCCATGCGGGAATCAACGTTCTGGAGCCGAGGGATTTGCTCCTGGGCCACGATCTGTCCAGCGAGGCTGAACAAGAGAGGGTGTTACAAGACATCGCACACTTCAAACCAGAACTGGTATGGGTTGCACTTCCTTGCACAGTTTGGGGGCCATGGGCACTGGTCAACTAAGCTCACGATCCTCAACGACTACGGCGACTCCGAATGAAGCAGAAGAAGCCCACCCGCTTTGCGGGAAGAGTAGCTGCAATAGTGGTCGACTATGGAGGTGACATGGCTTTTGAGCATCCCCGTGGCTCTGACCTATGGATGGATCGGGACATGATGGAGACCCTCTCGGCTGACTACCAGGTGAAACTGGATATGTGCAGCTATGAGCTCCGTGCAAGGTCCGCCTTCTGAAGCCAACAATCTACGGACGAGGCCTTCGTGAACGTCTTGGAACGACCTTGCACGGGAGACGAACATACCTTGACAGCCGGTCAAAACACCAAGCCGGCAGGGGCCCATACAAAAGAATTCGCACAGGCAGTCGTCAAGGGACATAAACGAATGAGGAAAAGCAAAGAAGGGGTCTGGACCTCATACCCAACCGAGGTGATGCTTGAGCGGGAGGAAGGGGCACTTAGGGGGCCTACTGAGGACTTGACAGTGGAAAAAGGTGGAGTCAGGGGCGGCCGGAATATCATTTCCAGCCCATATACCAACGGCCATCGCCTCATCACTGAGAAGAGTCCACCAGAACATGGGGCATCCATCGAACCAGGACTTGGCCCGGCACCTCAAACTGGCCGGAGCTAAAGATCAAGTGGTAAAAGCCTGTCACCAGTTGGCATGCCAAACATGTAACAGGGCAAATGCCTGCGGCAGTCGCCGACCCGCGAAAGTGGTCAAGCCACTTGACTTCAACGATGAGGTGGCGGTGGACACCATGTACCTCTATGACAACTCCGGGAAGAAGATCACCGTTCTGTCCATCCTAGGCGTTGGGTCAGGCTATCACGTGACCCGGCGCGTGGAGACTCGCAAGGCCGATGACTATGCCCAAGGCTTCCTTGACGCCTGGCTATCCTGGGCAGGGTCTCCCAATGTGGTCCTGGTTGATCAAGAACGTGGACTCACCAAGGACTTTCCCGAGGTTCTCGAGAAACACGGGGTGACAGTAAGGTACACAGCTGGGCAAGCACGCTGGCAAAACGGACACGTGGAAAGACAGAACGAATGGTACAGGCACATCTTTGACAAGGTCAAGGAGCACACGGCCATGAGGGACGAGGGCATCGATTGGACGCTCTCTGCAGTGGCTGAGGCGAAGAACTACCTGCAGAGAAGACATGGGCATTCACCAGCCCAGTGGCTATTTGGATCGACACCAAGGCTTGGAGTTGGGTTGGTGGACGAAGAACATGAGGTACAAGAACGGCAAGAACTCATTCCTCCCGGCGATGACTGGCATCGGAGAAACCAGATCTGACTAGCCGCTCGAGAAGCCTTTCTTCATCTTCAAGCAAAAGAAGGCCTCGAGAGAGCGGTACATGGTCGACCCCGGGTTCAACATGAAGACTATCAACCTGGCCAGTATGTCTACATCTATAGGACCACGAAGACACCTGGCGGGGTGGCACGAAGGCGACAAAACATCGGGGAATGGAATGGATCTGGAACCATCATCGGTAAGGAGGGCAAGCACAACTTCTGGGTCTCACGAGGTGGACGATGTCTTCTTTGTGCTCGTGAGCACCTACGCGGTGACATTAAGGCGGCTCAGCAGGCTAAAGGGGAGAAGGTGACCTACCAGAATATGGGCAATATGGACGACCTCATCTTAGTCTACCACGACGCTGAGTACCTGGAGGCCAAGGAGGTTGGGATTTACTCGCAGCTTGGCTATGTCCTGCTCATCACCAACAAGGAGGTGCTTCGAGGAGAACATCTGCCTGGGATGCTTGTGGGTTGGAAGTCACACGCATGTCCACGCGTGTGCAGCACATTTGGCCGAAACCATGGCCGCCTTGGAAGGGTGGGAAGCAGTGGCATCCCGAGCCCTCATGGGATGCCAATCGTCATTTTGAGTGCAAGATTCCTGCCTGTTTCAGGTCACGATCAATGAAGATGGTGGGAGATGGTATGAGCATACCCGAAACCCGAAACTAAGATTTGCGAGGCTTGCTTTCCTTGAATTTAGCTGCTGAAAGAAAGCACTTGTGATCCGTGTGGTACCTGTGCAGGAGTGCCAGAGATACTAGAAATTTGAAGGGCAAAGTGATGGAGGCTTTGACGAGCTGGCTGAATTTGCCAAAACTGACTTGGCATATTTATCAATGTTGGTTCTCCCAAGCTAGTTCTTGATCTAGTTCCTGGAGAGCGTCCAAGTCTCTGTGCGCTTTGACTTTCCGGAGCTGAGCAGTTGTGGGCCTTGTTCCACAAGCTCGGCTGTTTCCAGAGATTTTGGTTACGCCAAGTTACTCCAAGCAACCGGACAAAAAAGCTGATTTGCCACGAGCATCGGGGTGAACAACTCTCGAAAGGAAAAGAACAGGAAAGGCATCCTTTCCTGGACATGCTAATGACAGTCAAACAAAAGGCGTAGGACAAGAAACAGAACGGGAACCATGAAAGGACAAGGACACCAGAATGGAAATGCATTTCTGAAGTGAAAAAATCATGAAGATCCTTACACAGGAAAGCTACTACTATTGTGAGAAGAAAGGCGGTTCAAAAGGACAACAAAACCATTAAAGAACAAATCATAGATTGAAAGAATAGGAAGCAAACTAAGCCAGCAAAACAAACCTTTTGGAAAGAAAAGAACAGGACAAGGACAAAACAACAAAACACAGTTCTTATAAAGGAAAGGACACCATGACAAGGACAATCCAAAACAAAAAATCCTCTTCGGGAATGGGGGAACACTACTGTCAAATATGTTCTCAGAGGAACAAGCTCAGAAAGCTAACATCAAAAGAAAAAGACCTCCAAAACAGAACAAAGAAAAGGAATAGCCATTTGTAGTGAACAAAAGTAGCCGCTTCTTTTTGAACAAGTTGGTGGAATTGAATCAAAAGTCAAAAAAGGCAAACACCACCAAAAGGTATCAACGACCACCTTCAAAAACGGAGTCAAACATACAATATCTTAAACCAAGTGACGAGTGTACTTCCATGCCTTTTTGTGGGACAAGGGAAGGGTTAGAATCGCTTCGTTCGGGCGAATGACTAGGCGATGGCAAAGATGCTTCCATTCAGTATGATGTCATGGAGCTTGCAAGGCAGGAATCACCGACGCCATGACAGTTCCCTTTCTTTTCAAATGCCAACTGGCTGCAACACTGTTCTTTTTGTTTCTGTTTTTTGCCCTCGGCACAACTCTATCAATTTTGTCCTTGGCGACAGCGGGATTCGGACTAAGCTCTAAGCTCTGTGATCTCCAACTTGCCCCTAGCATCCTCGGAAAGCAAAAAGGAACAAACATGGAATTGCTTCTTTTGCATCTGCGTGTTTCCCTTCAGCCTTTTCTCTTCTGAATTTCTCTGATCCATCTGTCCGCTTTACAAGGTTCACTCAAGACTGAACAAGCACCATTCCAGTAGATCTCACCGGCAGAATCTGAACCAATTGCGACGAGGCTCCAGATCAATCTCGTCTAACATGGTCTGCACCTCAAACAATGGTCAATGGGTGTCCCCACTCTCAAAGAACAATTGATCCATAGAACCCGATTCTATATTGTTGCTGTTCTTCTTGGCCCATTGGCTTGGCTCAAAAAGTACTTTTTGATCTCACTGAGTCCTTCGTGACTTCGTACCGTCTTCCTCCAAGCCACTTGCTGGAGAGGCTTGGTAAAACCAAACCAACGCATCACCCGACTCCTGAGGAAAGCCGATGGACTTAGTTACGACGTGCTTAGCCGCTTTTGAAAAACAAAGCCTTAGCCTTTTGCTTTGCTTTTTGCTCCGAGATGTGAAGAAAAGTGACAAAATCCGCCAGGCATCGCTCGCAAGGCATCGACTGCATGATCTGCCCGTACTGCATCCTCGCAGGAAACAAATCGTTACGCAAGTGATACATCATTATTGTTATTGCTAGTGTGTCTTTTAGCTATATATATAGGGCTCAAGGTATGCAGGACCCGAATACTGAACCTTGAAAGCCCCAGAACTCAAGAGGAATTCGCTTCGCCAGTGAGCTAAGCTCTAGCCGTACTTGGTGGTAAAAGCACCATTCTGAGTACATGCTAAGTACTTCCAGTGGGCTGCAGATCTTGGCAAACAAATCTGGAATCGAAAGCTGATATGGTCACTTGGAAAACAGTGTGCGCAACTGTTAGCCGGTGCCATTATGGACCGAGCCACAATGGTCAGAGCGGCACTTACTTAGACCGGGCAAAGACCTGCGGCGGCGAAAACCAAGAGAAACCTGTTGAGGACTATGCCTTCATAGTCCTGGCGACCCTGCAACAGGCCAGCCAAAGCCGATAAACAGAAACAAGAGGATGCAAAGGACTACCAGCCAGGTCTGGGGTTCATGGATGAGCGAAAGTGCATGGATGGTTGGAGGGTAGGTCGAGCCACCTCACAACCTACGCGTGCAAGATGCCAGCAAGGGACAGAGATTCTGCAGTGCCACCGGAAGATTGTCAAGGAACACGTGGGCAGCTGCAAAATCTACATGTGTGAGCTGAAGTTGCACAGCATGACTTCATACCAGACCACGCAATCGCTTTGCTTTAGTGCTGGTAGGGTACTAGCGGATGTCAGGGATTGCCTCTTCGTACCCAGCACGAATACCCGGCATTGTGAGTGGCTAGGTTGCGGGTTGGTCTAGGTCGTGAATTGGCCTTATTGTTCGCAGGTTGGCGTGTCATGCCAAACTTGCAAAATGAATGAACACCATGTTCAGCAAGCGGTGCGAGGTGTGCTGTTGTACAGTTGCAGCACGGCCTTGGTTTTGTTCCCCGGCTTTGTTTCTGAAAGCCAATATCAAAGAGTCTTGACTTCCCGTGCTAATATGGCGTTTGTCTACAACGAGCTTTTCCCCTGAGATCCACTCGTATTAAGCCCGACTTTTCACCAGTGTTGACATAGAAACGCGATTCGTCAGGAAGGACCGCATGTAATTTGGGAATTAATTTTGCGAGGCAATGAGCCCTAGCGGACCTGTGAGCGAATCCAAAGTCCGCGCGCCGGGCCAGCCCGTGTGTCGCCCGGAGGGCCTTTGGTTGTAACTTGTAACCGAAGGTTATAGGCGGCGCGCCCCCGAGCGCCGACCACCTCAAGATGACCCAACATAGGTCCCAGATATGCCCAACATAGCCCCAAGATGGGCCAACATGGCCTCAAGTTGCGCCAACATAGGCCCCACACGGCCTCAACCAGAAGAGAAAGAGCACGAACTGGACACGTCCGAAAACTATGAGCTTTACTGTGTTTTCGGGGTTGCGGGAAGAAAGGTCTGGAGTAGACGTGTCCGAGAACCATGTGCTTTACAGCGTCTAGATTAAACCTGTGCGAAAACCATGTTTTACTGTGTCTGCGGGGCTGCGACTGGATTGAACGTGTGCGAAAGTCATGTGTTTTACGGTGTTTTCGGGGTTCTGCGAGAAGCGTCCGGGCTAGACATGTCGGAGAATCAACCTCTACAGGACAGTCCACCTCCTTCTCGCAGAGGATGCTGCGTCTCCGTTTCCTATCCCTTCCTTCTCTCTCGTCCCTGCCCCGGCCGGCGCCCAGCTGTCAGGCGTAAGCGGCGTAAGCCTTTAAATCCATATCATTTGTTTATCTATATATTTTTTCTGATCAAAAGGCGCAACGAACCATACGGCAATCCTCCACTTCTTCACTTAGGAACTGGAACGGAATTGAACGCTCTAGGTTTGATTCTCTCATTGAAGCAGCTTCTGCAAATGAGATGTGGACCGCTTTGAGACAAGCTGCCAGGTTGACACCAGGAGGTCTAGGTGAGGCGTGCGTGGTTTTGGGGCTCGCCTTGGCGGCATTCGACAGGGGCAACTCAGCCTTACAGCGACATGGGGTTCCAAGGTGCAGGGACTGGGATCTGCAGGCCAGTGGTGGGTGATGCTGGAGCCGTCTTTGGTGATCCCGTCCTCGGATGAAACACGTTGTTCAAAACGTTTTGCGATTCTTTGCGATTCAATCTTGATCTTCGGCTTCCAAGCCACTTGGGAGGATGTGGATGCTCCTCCAGCTGTTGCAGGAACCGCCGTTGAGCCGTGACCTTCCGTCCAAAACTCTCACTTCCCAACCATGCTGCAATTAAGCCCAGTATGGCAGTATGACTTAGAATATCCGCTAAAACACGAGGGGACTCCCCCAAAAGACATGCGAGAAAACCTCGCACATAAAGTGATATATTATATCATTGAATTTGCTGCCCAAATCCAGACCGTTTGTCCGCGTGATTTTGATTCCAAATAGCGACGGAGCCTGGCACTGGTGCTCGAAGGCCCCTTCCTGAAGCAATGCTGTCTACACAGCCAAGCATCGGCTTCATTCTCTTGATTGATAAGTCCGTTTTCTTTTCATCTTGCAGCTTTTCACTTTACCATTGGAGTCCAGTCCATCAGAGCCTGTGAGAATTTCAGCCGATTTCTTTTTGAAACAAAGCTGGCCAGGCGCAGCCTCTCTGTCATCATACCGAGCTTCCATTTCTCTTCTCTCCTGTGGGGTGAAGCCGTCCTTCTCCCGAAGTGCATTCAGAAATGCAACCTGAGCTTTGCCACATGTGAGACTACAGAACCTGGAGCACAAAAACAAACTTGTATCGTGTATTTACCAAAGTTTGATCCAACCTGCCAAACCTCAGAATGAACAGGTCCTGTCAAAGTGGCCGTCTCATCCTGAGTCACGTATTGGTTACCTTGGAGGTGCAAGTCTGAATTTGCGTGCATGAACAAACCCTCATACTTCAAGACATGCTGATATGCCTGAGGTGCTCTTTAGCCGAAGGTGATCCAGGATGTGCTTGATCAGGTCTTCTGTCACATAGTACCTCCAAGCCAAAAGCAACAGCCTGTGATCTGAACACGCAAACCCACAAATATAAAGGGTATTAGGGTGAGGAATCGAACATCTGAGCTTGAAGCCACTAGTTTCCTGGTGCTGTGAGACAGTGCACCAACTGCTGGCAGTTGATGCAACCCTGTTTTTGCTAATGTGCCGCATGAACGCTCGAGTGATGTGATGTCTGTATTGCTCACACTGTCGGTATGAGTACTCTTGATGCACGGCAGGCAGTGTCACCAGGCTCTGCCCATTTTTGATTCGACTCTCTCCTTGTCCTCTAGCCGCAGCCTTTCGGCCCTTTCTGTCTCTGTTGACTGAGCACTATGCCCCTGGTGTCCCCTGGTATATTGCCCTTTCTCCAATGTCGACAAATCACTCTGTTCTGCTGTATTCCTTCTGGTTTGCTCCCGCAAACCTTTTCCAAAGTGAGCTGCCTTGTCATCTCCATTTTGCAACATAGATCTCATGCTGAGCACCCTAAATTGCTCTGCCCGCTTGGGTGGGTGGACTTGGCTCACATCCTTTTGGGCGGAGCCTAGGGAGCGCCGAACCCTTCCGAGTGAGCCCTTCCCACCGATCTCAGGCCTCAACTCTGCTAGTGCATGTCCTAGGTCTCGCAGCTGCAACCTGTGCGAAAACCACAGCCACGAGCCCTTCGAGCTGTTTTGGTACGCCGTGGACTCTCCCAACTCTTTGCCAAAATGAAAGCAATTGCTCCGAGAATGTTGTCACCACTTGTCCAAAATTGTCCCATTGTCCTTTTGTCCAAGCTCCTTCTGCCCTTCCGGCGGTGTCATACGTTCGATGCGCCTGATACCCTCTTCAGCGAGGATCTCGAAGACCGTGGAGATGGCTTCTCGCTCCGCGTCCCGGACGCGGCGCACAAGCTTCAAGAGCTCCTGAAAAGCGCCCACCGCTACGCTCCACTTCTTGCTTTCTGTTTGCGACTCTTCGCATGTACTGTGCGACATGGCAAAGCGTGTCCGCGAACCATGGTGCGCTGGTACGCTGGCACTTACCATGGCGGCTGTGATCGCGCTGGCTCCGCCGGTTGCGCTGGTGACGCGCTGGTTATGCTGGTTGCCCTGGTTGCGGTGCTGGGTGAAACTGGTGCAATCAGTGCTACCAGTGTCATCGGAGCCGGTGTAAACAGTGTAATCGGTGTAGCTGGCGTCGGTGCTGCCGGAGTACAGCAAAATTGTGGACGCTGATTGCGCCAGCAATGTGCTGAGCTACTGCTCCCTTTGCCAAGGCAAAGGGTAAAGCTTAGACTTGACTAGGCTAGGTAGAAGAACTCTTGCTCTGGATAGAAATCCGCATTGTCTGGCTGTGTTCTTGCTTCAGTCAGTTTCGGGCTTGTGGCAACTTAGCATGGATGTGAACAATTTGAACATGGACAGCTATACAGCAAAAACTACCCGACAATTGTGGCTTTTCGCTATATTTTCGTGCGCTCGGAGATGTTCGACGGTTGTTGAGTTTGCCTTTCACCGTTTAAACCACCTTTCAGGGATTGTGCCATCTACTCTCAATCCACTATATTCCATGATGGATGATGGTGAGAGTGTTTGCCAACCCTGGACATGTCTACTTCCAGCAATGGGGGGGGTAGGAGCAAGAAGCTACTAGGAGCAAAGGGCATCGCTACTAGGAGCAAGGACGCTACTAGTGGCCTTACTACTAGGAGCAAGAACGTCAACATGTTCAGATGTTTTTCGCCAACGTTTGTCTCATGTGTTCCCACACCGCAGCTCAAGCCACGGCAGAATTCAAGCCACTTGGTACAGGCACCGGAAATCTGAACAAAGAGAAATTGGAACTGTCCTGACTTCTTGTACGTGGATCCTGTGTGTTTGCTATCGCAAACAATGAACATGTTTCTAGTGCCAGTTCTTGCAAAAATCTAAAGTCGTAAACAACTGACCAAAAATCAAACTCCTATATTATAGGGGGAGTCAACCCCACCAGATTCGGCAAATAATCAAGGGTCTGTCACTTTAAGGTGTGGCATTCGAGTTCGTGGAACTGCCAACGGACTCGAAGGGACCGCATCGCGACTTGCCCGGAGAGTTGTTCCGTATCCCGCCCTGCGTTCTTTTTGGGGATAACACGCTGCCGTCCAAACCAAATATGGAGCTATAACTTATTGCACCCCACACTTCTGGTGAGGATTTGCCAACGTGACCAGAACACCACCCGAACACCAGGTCGGACTAGAGAAAAAACTAGCGGTGAAGCAGTTCAACGTACCAATGGGTTGAGTGTCCGAGACGTGGGGAGAGGCTCCTGAAAGCTGATGTAGCCGCTGGCGTCATTGTCGACCTCTCGAGCAATGATTTGAACTCGCTCATAGCTGATCTTGTAGCCCAGGTACCTCACCACTCACAGCATCTCACAGCTCGGAGTTCGCAAGTGTTCATCTCAAATCCCTTCGACTGGCCTCTTTCACGCAAGGCCATCAAATTACAGCGTGAACGTCAACATGTTACGGGACATTGTGAACAAAATGACACAATGAGAGCAACACTCAACGAACAATTTCGACATCTATGAGAGATTCAGATTGGATCATTTTTTGGGGCACTGGACAACCCGCCAAACGTCCTCCACTGGCATTTCTTGCTGCTCTGCGATGAGCTTTTTGGCGATGTCTTGCTGACTCCCGACACCTTAGGGCGAACGCGGAACTCTCCAACGGTGAAACATCGCTACTAGGAACAAGTGCCACGCTAGTAGTAACAGGTGCCTTACTAGTAGGAACAATGTTTGCTATTAGAAACACAAAGCTACTAGGAACAAGTGCCACGCTAGTAGTAACAGGTGCCTTACAAGCAGTTCCCGGGCAAGCCGGCGGCGGAAATTTCCTATAAGAACAAATTGACCTATAGGAGTGTCCACCTTCTCTCCAACATGCGTGTCCTCCAGTCAAACGCACGCGCTCCGGACTTTTGACCCACGGGATTTCACGTGTGTAAGTTGTGTGCCCCCTGCAGGATCAGTGTGTATGATGAGTGGTGTATTGACCAGCAGTTGAATGTCCTGTCCTGCATAAATGCAACCAAATACTATCAGTATGAACTGTGCCAAACCTGCACGCCGCGAGAGATGACTCAGCAGCGAGAGATGACTGAGTTGCGAGAGATGACTCAGCCGCGAGAGATGGCTATAGCGAGAGCTGACTCAGCAGTGAGAGATGACTCAGTCGCGAGAGATGACTCCTCCGCGTACTACACTTGTACTACAAGGTGGCCACTTCTTAGCTTCCAGCTCCACAGGTTGTTCCGCGTGCTAAAGTTGTACTAGAAAGTCGCCAGTCAGTTCTCATCTTCCAGCTCTACAGATTGCTCCGCGTACTGCAGTTGTACTACACAGTCGCCAGTTCTCAGCTTCTAGCTGCACAGATTGCTCCGCGGACTAAAGTTGTACTACAAAGTCGCCAGTTCTCAGCTTCCAGCTCTACAGATTGCTCCGCGTAC